ATGTACATTGCCTCAGTACATTTTTCTTTCTTGGACATTGCCTCAGTCAAATTTGTTCTGGCTACGGCCCAGTCGTGTATTTATAGAATATCAATCCAAGTTATCGCACATCCAAACGGCGTTATCTGGGAAACTGAGGAGGTGTTATCCCGATCCTAGTATAAGTCCTCGTTGATAACGGTCAAATTTTGAAGTGGTTGATAAAGTATATGCTTACCTGTGTTCAGTGACCAAGTGTCAGTGATGACGTTTTTGTAAACATCAATTTTGCATGCGTACAGTTTCCCGCTGTTTGCAGTACTGCCCCATAATACCCACAATCCCTGTTCGTCAACTGCCAGGTCCATTGCACTGAATCCGCCCCACTGGTAGTGGTTTTTCCTTGATGTGAAAGAACTCACGGTGATTGTGGCCTCGATGAGCTCTGTGCGCAGGCTGTACTTGTAGATATAAGCGGATCCTGCTCTGTCGACAAAATACAACAAGCAAGTAAGAAAGAAAGAAAGAAAGAAAGAAAGAGACAAAAAAAAGAAAGAAGGGAAAAGAGTGAAAGAAACTAAAATCTGAAACTTTCTACATGATAAGATAAGAAAACTCAGCAATCTCAGTGGTCTGTTTAAAATCTGTTTTGGTAGTTTTGGATAGCAGCTGACAACTTTCATACATGGAAATATTGATAGCTGCACGACTACTATAACTTAAGTGATGTGTTCAGTTAAGTATTATAGTTTAAATAAGAAAGATCAGAAAACCTGTCTTCATGAAATGTTATGCGCAGGAAAATGAAAATATTACCTGTTATAATAGAGATATGATCCATACACCACTGCTCCAGTTCCGTCCCAGTTGTAAGGCAGAATGTACGTCTTACGAGCCACGCCTGCTTTGAACATGTCCATGTTTTCAAACTCTTCTAACACGTTGTTTCCCGTAAACGATTCCATAACAAATATGGTTTCAGTACCCATGATTCCTAGTGGGTCTTTCATCCAGGCTCCTTGTGTGTGCTGTCGAGCATTGTGAGTGACAGGTTTACCAACAGACTTGATGTTAGTGCAGCTGTCTGCAAGAAATCGATAAGTAAAGACAAATCTCATTTGGTTTCTATGCTACCATATAAGAACAGACTAAAATCTGACACCTGAGAATTGATCCAGTTGCAAAAGGGGGAACAACCTTATGACGAAGAGTTTAATTAAAATGATAATGAAATTATTACATGATTCCCCAGCCTTTTCAACGTAAGAGGAGAATAAGTCATTAATATTAAGCATTTGGGTCCTGAGCATACGGATATTTAAAAACCGAAGCTTTGACAGCGTCTGTAATAGATTCAATAGACTTCTGATGTTTATGCTCTTGTGCGAGTCTAGGTAAAGCCCCTCTACTCTTCGTTCTAAATGATATCATCAGATATGGAAAAATCTTCTTCTGACAATGTCATCCCGCATGGCAGTCACGCTTGAAATCTCTCAGTTGGGACTGGTTGTAAACCATAAAAAGAGAGGGGAAGGCGCCAGGCAGTTTTGCTGTTAATGTCTCCTATATCTGTCTTTTATCTCCAACTCACTCACTAGCATCCCATTCAGGGGAGAGTGGAAATACTCCTGGTCGCTTTATGCCACAGAAACCAGAATAAGCGCCGGCCTGATGGACCACCCTTTAATTTGGCTCGTAAGCAGACTTTACCTTGCCTACCACTCCCCAAATATTTAATGTACTGAGAACTGGCATTTCAATTTCTCTTCGCCTGAATTCTCCCAGCGGTTGTTTCCCTTCATCCAAATGTAAAGAACGCGAAACATGACGGAGAGCTTTCCAAAGTGGTGTGAGATTTTGCAAAAAGGAAAGTAAGGATAAATACCAGAGCTGATCATTCCAACATGAGTGCAAACAAGCAACAAACAAGAAACAAACAAGGGTAAAAAGGTGAAGTCTGCATACGAGTCAAGAGGCTCATCAAACCGGTGCTTATCTCCGGTTTCAGCAGCATGCATGAAGCGGCTAGGAAT